GGGAGACAGGGAAGAAGCTCTTGTTCTTGGCTTCAGCCTGGCACAGCCCTGACCATTGTGGCCATTTTGGGAGTGAACCAGCGGAAATAGGATCTCTCCCTCTCTGTCCTTCCCCCTCTGCCTCTCCTTCTCTGTAACTCCACTTTTAAATAAATAAATAAATAAGAGCAGCAATTAGAAGTCATAAATCAATCAGGAAAACCCATTTCCAGTCTAAGTGGTTTAAAACATTCAGCCTTTCCCTGCTCTAAGAATGGGCCTAGCGTGCTGCCTGCTATTCATTGACTTGACTGTGTCAGTTCAGCTTCTGAACAGGAAAGTGAAGTGCTGCATGCGTTCTGCTGAGGGCTTCTGCCTTAGCTTCCCTCATTGCCACATTTCCTTTCGTAATTTGTACATTTTATTTAACCAGAATGATTTTTTAAAAATATTTATTTGAAAGACAGAGTTAGAGAGAGAGAGAGGTATAGACACAGAGAGGTCCTCCATCCACTGGTTCACTCTCTCAAATAGCTGTAACGACCAGAGCTGGGCTGCTCTGAAGCCAGGAGCCAGGAGCCTCTTCCAGGTCTCCTACATGAGAGCAGGGGCCCAAGCACCTGGGCCGTCCTCCACTGCTCTCCCAGGCCCCAGCAGAGAGCTGGATGGAAACAGGAGCAGCCGGGACTAGAACCAGTGGCTCACATGGGATGCCAATGCTGCAAGCAGGGGCTTTAACCTGCTGCACCACAGCTACCACAGCTCCAGCACTCATCATTTCTTTTTCTTTCGTGTGTTTTTCTGTTTTCTTTGACTTGACAGGCAGAGTGGACAGTGAGAGAGAGAGACAGAGAGAAAGGTCTTCCTTTGCCGCTGGTTCACTCTCCAATGGCCGCCGCGGCTGGTGCGCTGCGGCGGGCGCACCGCGCTGATCTGAAGGCAGGAGCCAGGTGCTTCTCCTGGTCTCCCATGGGGTGCAGGGCCCAAGCACTTGGGCCATCCTCCACTGCACTCCCGGGCCACAGCAGAGGGCTGGCCTAGAAGAGGAGCAACCGGGACAGAATCCGGCGCCCCGACCGGGACTAGAACCCGGTGTGCCGTCGCCGCAGGCGGAGGATTAGCCTATTGAGCCGCAGCGCCGGCCAGCACTCATCATTTCTAAGTGTCACTTTAAAACATCATTTAAGGATCAGGGAGACTTTAAGTTTCTTATTTTCTTCCATCAAATCAGAGGATTTTGCAGATGATAGCAGTGCACTTGTTGTCAAGAATTCCTCTAAACCTTTTCTAGAAACTTCTCCTTGAATTCTTTACCTAGACACAAGTGTGGAATCAGAAGCTGTTCCTTTGATCTAAATGAAGCCAATACACTCTTCTTAGACAACTTAGAATCGCGACTAAGGGATTTTTAGTGTAAGTGTAACTGAGTCAAAACTCAGGAGCTACTGCTAACAGTTATTTTCCTCATGGAAATTGAAAAATGGTGTGAGCTGGACCACAGCTATAGTGAAGAATGACAGTGCAGAGGTAACGGCAGGGGCTGCCCCTGGATTTCCTGCTGTACTCCAGGCTGCTCCTAAAGCCCAGATCCAACCCTGAGTCCACAAGGCACAAATTTATTATTTTTTAAAAATTAATCTACTTGAGAGGTATTGAGCCAGATGGAAAGATGGGTAAGAGTTGCGGTTACAGGGGCCGGCACTGTGGCGCAGCAGGTTAACACCCTGGCCTGAAGTGCCGCCATGCCATATGGACGCTGGTTTGAATCCCAGCTGCTCCACTTCAGATCCAGCTCTCTACAATAGCCTGGGAGAGCAGTAGAGGATGGCCAAGTCCTTGAGCCCCTGCAGCCACGTGGGAGACCCAGAAGCTCCTGGCTCCTGGCTTCGGATCAGTGCAGCTCTAGCCATTGTGGCCAAATGGGGAGTGAACCATCAGATGGAAGACCTCTCTCTCTCTCTCTCTCCCTCTCTGCCTCTCCTCTCTGTGTGTAACTCTGACTTTCAAAATAAATAAATAAATATTTTAAAAAAAAGAGTTGGAGATAGAGACAGACAGGGAGCCTATTCATCTCTCAAATCAAATGCCTCCAGCATCTGGGACTGGACTGCGGCAGAAGCCAGGAACAAAGACTTCAATCCAGGTCTCCCACATGGTGCCAGGAATTCAATTATTTGAGATATTACCTGCTGCCTCCATGGAGTGCATTGGCAGGATGTTGGAGGCAGGACTGGAGCTGAGTGTGCAAACTAGGTACTCTGATATGGAACATGGGTGCCTTAACCAGTATTCTAGTTGCTAGGCCAAATGCTTGCCCCATAAATTTATTTTTAAACCAATTATTTCTTCTCTCTCTCTCTCCAAAGTTAAATGAAATATCATTCACAATGAAAGTAACTAATTCTTCATCTAGTCCCAACTTCTCATTGTACAAGAACAGAAAACAGAAGCCCAGGGCTGATGAATGGTTTCCTCAAGACTCCATTTTCAGTGGCATAGCTGTGAGCAGAAGGCAGTCTTCTCTCTTTGGGCTTTCCTCTAGATAATGCGAGAGAGAAATTTACTGAATGACTCCATGCATTAACTGACCCTGCATCTCAACTTGTAATGATGTCAAAAAAAAAAAAAACCACTTATTTTTGAAAACTTCTTTGAAAAGCGGAGTGACAGAGAAACAGAGATCTTCCACCTACTCATTCATTTCGCAAATGGCACACAATGTGGGATGCTGACACTTCAGTGTCTTAACCTACAGCATCCCAACGCACTCCAAAGAGCTCTTTTCTGATGGCCTTGCCCTCTTTTGGTCTGTATTGCTAACAAACTGTCCCTAGAGCACTTAACACTCGGAGGAGAAACACTCAGCTTTAGGGTTCTGCTTCCAGTGCCTACACATTTCAGCCCACGAAGGAAAAGCCTTCTGTGGAACAGTGGATTCTGTGCTCTGTCCTGAAGCCCCTTTCAGGAGACAATCACTCCCTGGGAGTGTTGGCCACCGAAGGCTCACGGCTATCACTCTCTTGGAGCTGCCCCATTGACAGGAACCGCTGCGCCAGTGCTGGGGTAGCCCTGCTCCCTGTGCCAAGGAACCAAAGCTCAGTCCCTTTGCCTTCATTCAGAATGATTCTGAAGGTCAGTTCAGCCCCAGGCCACCTTTGGAACTGCACTGTAGTCCAGCAGCTCCCGTCCGCAGCGTTCCGGCCCTCCCTTCCAGAGAGCACTCCCAATTTAAACCTCCTGCCAGCAAACCTCTGTCTCAGAGTCTGTTTCTCTGTGAATTCCACCTTAAACAGTAGCCTTCTCACTTTTCTACTAGAGTAAAAGATCACCAGGAGAAAAAAGTGCTACATGAAGCAGTTTGTGACAGAAAGCTTAAGGTCCCTCAATCACATCACAATTCTGTTTTTCTCTTTCTAACGGTGTTTTATATGAGTTATACCTGGTTAGTTTATTTCAGAGGCAGAGCTACGCACAGAGAGAGGGAGTGACAGAGAGAGAGAGGTCTTCCACCCACTGGTTCACTTCCCAGATGGCCACAATGGCTGGAGCTGCGCCAATCCGAAGCCAGGAGCCAGGAGCTTCTTCTGGGTCTCCCATGTGGGTGTGGGTGCCCAAGGACTTGGGCCATCTTCCACTGCTGTCCCAGATGTATCAGTAGGGAGCTGGATCAGAAGAGGAGCAGCTAGGACACATCTCTACTGCAGGCGGAGGCTTAGCCTACTACACCACAGCACAGGCCCCTGGTTAGTTCTCTGAGACTAAAAACATATTATGTGGTACACTTATAATAATTTATAAGCCACATTCTAATAAATTATTTTTATAGTTTTAACACCTTGTGTTTAATCTCTGGGTAGCACTTGTTACATTACAATTGCCCACTTCTTACCATTCTTCTCTGGTAGTGTCTCGTATGTGAATCCCTCGTATCTATCTGTCCCTGAGATGGATCCTGGGCAAGTATTCAGTTAATGTTGCTTGAAGAAATGCAGAGACTGCACTTAGTTGAAATTCGAAAGATTACAGTAGGAAAAAAAAAAACTAACTAAACTGAAGGTCCAAAACCTATTTCACTAAGATTTTTCATCTTCAGAAACCTAGAGATATTAACATTGTATTTCCAGAAAGACATTTGAGAAACACATTTTCTCTTAAAATAATTGGTATCTGAATTCTAAGTTGGGCCACATGTAAACCAAATTAATATAGAACCCTTCCCACAATAAGATGCTGGATGAGATTCAATTTTAATTCCTGACAGTACTTTATTTCAGAAATTTCAAAGCTAGGGGAGAGTTGAAAATGAGGAGGAAAAAAGTTTACTTTCTTTTCTCTTTTTCCCTTTAATTTTTACGCAATATATTAGCCTACTATTATGGTTATTATTTTGAGACACATGGAGTGGAGGGGAGAAGAGGAGAGGAGAGGGGGAAAGTGAGGGGAGAGAGGAAGGGAGGAAAGGAGGGTGGGGAGAGAGGAGAGGAGAGGAGAGGAAGGAGAGAAGAGGGGGAGGGGAGGTGAGGGAGGAAGGGGGAGGGGAAGAAGGAGAGCGGAGGAGGGGTGAGGGGAGGGGAGGAGAGAAGGAGGGAGGGGGTTGGAGGAGGAGGAGGGAGACAGAAGATAGCTCCCGTCTGCTGGTTCACTCTCCAAATGCCCACATTAACTTAAATTTAGTTTCCATAACTTTTGAAGTACTCTTGTATGTGATTTACTTTCTCTAGTTTTTCAAAGTAAATTAATATTAATTTGCATCTACCCATTTTTGTCGTAGAAAATATAGGATATTTTCTATATTTCTGAATTTCTAACATAGAATATATACTAAACTATTTCAAGAAAATTTCCTCAAAATACATCATATAGACACTTCTTTAAATAACAGTAAGTCAGCATATCTATAGTGATTGTGCTATGATGACTTTCAGCATTTGTCTTACAAAAAATTTTAAATCTGAAACAACTTTTTCGTTAGGTATAACTCTATATACATAAAAAGAAACATAGAAGAGATGAAAATTACATAATTTTTTAAAAAATTTATTTTATTAGAGAGAGAGGTAGATACAGAGAGAGATCTTCTATCTGCTGGTTCACTCCTTAAATGGCCACAATGATCAGAGTGGCTATGGACCGGTACATAGCCAGGAGCCAGGAGGTTCTTCTGGGTCTCCCATGTGGGTGCAGGCTTGGGCCATCTTGTGATGCTTTCCCAGACACATTATATTAGCAAGGAGCTGGACTGGGAGTGAAGCAGCTGGGACTTCAACAGGTGCCCATATAGGATGCCAGCATTGCAGGCAGTGGCGTAACCTACTAAGCCACAATACCGGGTCCCCTGAAGTTAATCTTTTGACGGGTATAATCCACCTGATCTCAAAAGTATGAGGAAGCATTAAGGGTAGTCTCAGGTTTAATGTTTAAGCGTATTATGTCTAACTAATTTTGATTTTATCTCCTAGATTTGCAAAGATGATAATATTTGATATTTTGAATATCCAGTATGGGTAAACTAGTAAGTTTGCCATCAAAGAAAGCTTACATGGACAATCTTCAAATTTTCAAAGTTAAAAAACCCTGTTTCATCATGAGATGGGACAATTCATCAGTGAATGAGATAAAACACACTGTTCACTGAGAAAACAGAATGAAAAGGAAGCAAAGATAGAAGAGAAAAAAAAATATGAAACATGATCTTCTAGTTCCAAGCATTAGATGGTAGAAGAGCTGATCCTTCAGTGATACTGACAATCTCAACAGGGAAGGAACATGTGTAAAGCGAAGTCATTTAAGTTTTATTGATGAAAAAGAGGAGAAAACAGCCATATATTATATCTTCACAATGAAGTCTGTGGTCTAAACATCGCTTACTCTACTAAGTCTGCATTATAAAGTCTGATCAAGAGCCACTTTTCTTATAAAAATGAGGATTGCTTTATAGTAATTCTGGGAGGTTTTTATATTTTACTTATTTGTCTTCAGAAAAGTGATAAAGAAAATGTCTTTACAAGAACACAAAGACACTGCCTATCTGTAAAATGAAACAATACGATTATTTGTTACCTGCACAAATAACTACAGCTCTTTAGGAAACAGAAGCCTGTTTCAGTAGAAAGCTGTCACACACTATGATTTTTGATCAATTAAAAGTTTGTGAGTATGGGCAGGAGGGAGGGAAAGGTGGGAAGAATCATTATGTTCCTAAATTTGTATATATAAAGTGAAGTTTGTTTACCTCAAATAAAAGGTTTCTAGGTAAAAACAAAAAATAATTTTTGTGGGGCTATACATCATTTTAATCTATTTTTTAAAAATATTTATTTGAAAGTCAGAAGCGTACATAGAAAGAGAGGCAGAGAGAGAGAGAGAGAGGTCTTCCATCCACTGGTCCACTCCCCAATTGGCCGCAACAGCTGGAACTGCACCGATCCCAAGCCAGGAGCCAGGAGCTTCTTCTGGGTCTCCCACGAGGGTGCAGGGGTCCCAAGGACTTGGGTCATCTTCTACTGCTTTCCCAGGCCACAGCAGAGAGCTGGATTGGAAGTGGAGCAGCCAGGACTAGAACCGGCGCCCATATGGGATGCAGCACTACAGGCGGTGGCCCCACCCGTTATGCCACAGTGCCGGCCCCAATCTAATAATTTAAACATAATCATTGCATTTCACAAGAGAGGAAAACTCACCAACTTGCCAAAACACTGCATTCTCAAATAGCTGTTTTAAGTCCAAAATACTATTAAGGTAAAAAAAAATAATGCAATATGCCTCCTTAAGCATTTATTTTACTTTATACGGTTTGATTTTCAATGAAAATGAAATGTGTTCTTATCTAATGTTCTTTAGAAGCACTTATGTTCTGCAGTTCTCAGCAATGTCTTTTTAAAGTGAAATTTAATTATGAAGCTATTCTTTAATTCATCAGTTTTCAATATGTCAGTTATGAGAAGAATGTCTGTACATCTAGGACTTCTGCCAGAGTTATCTCTTAAAATCAAAAGGTACAAAGATTTGGTCCATCCTAAAAAATTCATCGCTTCTGAGTTGGTGCATCGCAATATGGCACATTTTCTAAAAGAAGGTCTTTCCTGGGGACCAATTCTGAAAGAAAAATAAAAAGAATAATTCAAGTTATTAAAACAGGCTAATCATGAGATTATAATTAAGTGTAAATGTACTCATTTCCCCCTAAATTTTTTTCAAACTTCTTTTTTTAAAGATTTACTTATTTATTTGAAAGTCAGAGTTACACAGAGAGAGACAGAGAAAGAGGTATTCCATCTGCTGGCTCACTCCCCAGTTGGCCGCAATGGTTGGAGCTGCGCCAATTGGAAGCCAGGAGCCAGGAGCTTCCTCAAGGTCTCTCACGTGGGCGCAGGGGCCCAAGGACTTGGGCCATCTTCTACTGCCTTACCAGGCCACAGCAGAGAGCTGGATAGGAAGTAGAACAGCCGGGCTTCTAAATGCCGCCCATATGGGATGCCGGTGCTTCAGGCTAGGGCATTAACCTGCTGCGCCACAGTGCCGGCCCCTTCCTCCTAAAATTTATAAAAGTAAAATACCTTGAGGTAAACCTTCCAAGGGTATTTTATTTCAGTTAACATTTAAATTAGAGTCCTTGATTCTAAATGGAGACAGTAAATAGTATTCTCATTTCAGATTATATAAAAACACAGGGGCAGGGCCAGTACTGTGGATTAATGGGTTAAGTATTATGGCAATGGATTAAGCCTCTGCCTGCAACATCAGTATCCCATAGGAATGCTGGTTCAAGTCCCAGTTGCTCCACTTCTGATCCAGCTCCCTGCTAATGCTCCTGAGAAAGCAGAAGACAGCCCAAGTACTTGGGCCCCTGCCACCCATGTAAGAAGCCTGGATGGAGATCCAAATTCTCGCCTTTGGCTTGGTCCAGCTCCAGTTGTAGCTATTTGGGCAGTGAACCAACAAATGGAAGATCGATCTCTCTCTCTCTCTCTCTCTCTCTCTCTCTCTTTCCTTCTCTAATTCCACCTTTCAAATAAAATATGAATCTTAAAAAAAAAAAAAACAACAGGAGTGGGTATTTGGCAAACAACAGGAGTGGGTATTTGGCTCAGTGGTTTTTATTGGTCTGTGTATGTTTTTCTTTGTCTCACCAAAGCAAAACATAATCAACTTGATCTTTTATCATTTATTAAATTTAACTAATAAACTAAACAGAATTCAGATAAAATATATTACTGACTATCCAATTATCAATTTCTGAAACTTGAAACTGTCAAATGGGGGGCTGGGCACTGTGGAGCAGTGGTGCAGTGGGTTAAGGGGCCATCTACAGTGCAGGCATCCCATATGGACAATGGTTCAAGTCCTAGCTGCTCCAATTCCCATCCAGCTCCCTGCTAATGCTCCTAGGAAAGCAGCACAAGATGGCCCAACTCCTTGGACCCCTGCACCCACATAGGGACCCAGAAGAAGGTCTTGGCTCGGGCTGCTGCAGCCATCTGGGGGTAAACCAGCAGATCAAAGATCTCCCTCCCTCCCTCCCTCCATCTCTCTAATTCTGACTTATAAATAAATAAAATAAATTTAAAAAAGAACTGTCAAATGAGAAATCTGTTTATACTCCTTACTATAGAAAAAGAAAAAACACTCTCCTAATTTAAAGATTCCAAATTTTAGAGGACAATGGTTGATAACCAAGGGTGTTTGAGTTGTCATACCAACTGGAGAATGTTACTGGAATTTCGTGGGCAGAAGCCAAGGATGCAAATCTGCAATGAATGTGTGGGACAGTCTGGCATGGTAAACAAATGTTCTGTGCAAAAATGCCAGTATGTCCTCACTGAGAAAAATCATTACACAAAAAACTGTTGAGTCCTAGGCATGATATCTTAATGAAGTCAAGAAAAAGATCTTAAGATAAAAAAAAAATCCTGAGGACATAAATGCTTCTCTGTGTATTCTCCAGAAAAGCTAAATCCAGGTAAACTATCATGGTCCAAAAATGCTCACACAACATTCTGTGAAATAACCTGCCTGTATTCTTTTTTTCCCCTATATTCTTCAAAACATCAAGTTTCAGAGAAGTGAACATTGTGGTTCCGCAGGTTAAGCCACTGCTTGGGACACCCAGAGCCCATATCAGAGTACCTGGTTTGAGCTATGGCTACTCTGCTTCTGATCCAACTATCTGCTAAAGCACACTGTGGGGGGCCTGAGTGCCAGCATCCCATGTGGACACTGATTTGAGTCCTGGCTGCTACACTTCCCGTGCAGTTCTGGTCTAGCACAAGTCCTTAATACCACTAACCACCCTGGCCTTTTTCCTTCTCCTCTTCTGCTATACCCCATGTGTGATTTTGTTTTCACCAACGCTGTCACATCACATCTGCACTGCATGCAGAAAGGAGAGGAGAAAAGGGCAAAAGGAGAGCTTCAGCTTAGCCTTTTTTTAACAGGAAAACAATGCTTTCTTGGTTCCAGTAGACAGTTGCTTATGTAATCCAGAAAGATGTTATTGGCTCTAGGAAATTACCTTAATTTTCTGCTTTGCATTACTGCACCTTGAATATAATTTTTTATTTTTTTTATTTTTTTTTTATTTTTACAGGCAGAGTGGACAGTGAGAGAGAGAGAGACAGAGAGAAAGGTCTTCCTTTTGCCACTGGTTCACCCTCCAATGGCCGCCGCGGCTGGTGCGCTGCGGCCGGCACACCACGCTGATCCGAAGCCAGGAGCCAGGTGATTCTCCTGGTCTCCCATGCGGGTTCAGGGCCCAAGGACTTGGGCCATCCTCCACTGCACTCCCGGGCCACAGCAGAGAGCTGGACAGGAAGAGGAGCGACCGGGACAGAATCCAGCGTTTCGACCGGGACTAGAACCCAGTGTGCTGGCGCCACAGACGGAGGATTAGCCTAGTGAGCTGCGGCGCCAGCCCACCTTGAATATAATTTTTCAGCACCTGCCCATTGATTACACAACACGCAAAACTAGCCATCTTCTCATTTATGGAGTACATCCATTCACCTCCTGTCCTCTCAAGTCTCAGCCAGATTAAAATCAAGGATCTCTAGATGATGTGCTAGCCTTTTCATCAGGTTCAGCTGTTGCTAACACGGTAGAGAACCTACAAGAGCTCAGTGAAAATAAACAAAAACGATACAGGAATAAAAGCCTGGAATGAGAAACACACAGCATCACTGGTCTACAGAAAATCTAAAATTCTGCTGGACAAGAAGGACAAACACCCTTGCTTTAGTAAAGGAATAAATTCCTTGGATGGCTAACCTGGCAGTACTTAATTCTATTTGCTGGGAGATCCTCCCTAGTCCACTCTCGTCCTGGTTCTGTCCTCTGCAGGATTCTCCTTGTCTGGAGGTAGAGATGCTGGGCAAATACCCTTCTTTGGAGCTCCGCAAACTTTCATGGTTCACTTGTTGATATTTCAGGAGCTTAGGGATGGTCTCAGCATTAAAGAGAACTAGCCAAACTGTGATTTCTTGGTAATGCAATTTACTAAAATTTTTTTAACTAAAAATCTGCTTCCAGTCATTTCTATATGCAAATTGCCACGAGCAAACAGCCTGACATAATTTTTTATTAATGAAGATTCTCATCTTTTGGTATAGCCTCTATGTTCTGCCCAATCCCTAATTCTTACTGGACAGATACTTCTTAAAGCAATGAAAAATAATCAGCTCTGGTAAGTAGGTCATATATCTGATATGAGAAAGCCTTGGGGCAATGATCTTATTTCATAGTAGAGCCTACTTGTACTGGCTTTGGTTTTAGTGGATATGGGCAACTGGCATTTTCAACTTTGCAAGGCTCTCAAGTATGGGACTCTTAATCAGACTTCAGAGTGCACATAGAAGAGTGGTCCCCCGCAAAGTGATATTTCATTCTATTTCTGCTTTGCAGATGCACTAGCTGAATCTGCATTCATTTTCTTTTGCAGTACTTTGCTGGAAGCAGGAAGAATTTTCCAGCATATACTAACATTCTGGCTATTCCTCTTATTCCTGTAGCCTCAGGTAGTACTCAGTCTATCTTCCAAGAAATAGGAGGCACTGACTTCATAGTTTACCAGCTTGGAGCCTATAACGGTCAGGCCCATGATAATCACACTGCCCTGTACCCTTACCTTCCATTCAACTAATTTCACATTTTAGGTTGTATAGTTTTTGGGAGCTCACTTCTGGGAAAAATTTCTGTTGGTCTTAGTTATAAGCAACAGAATTGGACTCTGGTTAAGCAGAAAAGCCATTTATTAACAGGTCCTTGTCTAACTCATGGATTTGTGAGGCCCAAAGAACCAGGCAAGTTAGAGATTGAGATTCAGGAATGATGACCAAACCCATGCCACAGAACTGGCCTAGTAATAGAAGTTAGTGTCCTCCACACAGCACCCGCAGAAACTGCCACCATTTTTGCCTTACAGAACACAAGGTGCTGTATTTCAGATGTTGCCAGACATTCACTTTTACTACACCCCCTTTTGCCACCACACCAATGCCACTTCTCTGTGAAGAAGCTGATCCTGTACCCACTGACCATTCCTGCCAGAAAGCCAAATTCTGTCCAAGCCTCTTTCCTCAATTTTACTTACCAATATGGGTAACTGTGCTGAATTTTTATCAAATGTCCACACCTGAGCTGCAAAGGAAACTGAGGAACTGAATTTTCTAGGTTCTGTCCTTGGGATGGGGAAGTCATAAAAGACTGAAATTCTCAAAACAAAGGAAGGAAAACCAACGAGTGGTAAAGAACCACAAAACTGTCCAACAGCCATTACTCCATCTCTTCACTCAATGCACCTTATTAAGTAATGTCTGGAATCAAAAACATACTCTACTCTTGAATTTTTCTGGTTTAATTAACTGCTGACACTTAGGCTAAATGCACCCAACTGTATTTAAATATTATGCATTATTTTCACTGTAATGTTGCTTTATTGATTATGAAAATCCTTGACTTTGCTTTCTACATTAGATCTAAGTATTAGAACATTACTTTATTGAAGCTGGAAGATCCTTCATAAGCAACTGTACTGAGATGATGTTTTATTTCCTTATTTAGGCCCCTGAAAAGCCTTATTACTCTGGTGACATTAAATTTATCATTTAAAATAATTTATTTATTTTATTTATTTTTAAAGATTTATTTATTTACTTTGAAAGTCAGAATTACACAAAGAAAGAAGGAGAGGCAGAGAGAGAGGGAGGGAGGGGTCTTCCATCCACTGGTTCACTCCCCAGATGGCCGCAACAGCCAGAGCTGTGCTGATCCAAAGCCAGGAGCCAGGAGCCAGGAGCCTCCTCCGGGTCTCCCAAGTAGGTGCAGGGGCCCAAGAGCTTCAGCCATCTTCCACTACTTTCCCAGGCCATAGCTGAGAGCTGGACCAGAAGTGCAGCAGTCAGGCCTCGAACCGGCACCCAAATGGGATGTCGGCACTGCAGGTGGCTGCCCTACCTACTACGCCACAGCGCCAGTCCCTAAAAGAATTTTTTTTAAAGTAATATTAGGGGCCGGCGCCGCGGCTCACTAGGCTAATCCCCTGCCTTGCGGCGCCGGCACACCGGGTTCTAGTCCCGGTCCGGGCTCCGGATTCTGTCCCGGTTGCCCCTCTTCCAGGCCAGCTCTCTGCTGTGGCCCGGGAGTGCAGTGGAGGATGGCCCAAGTGCTTGGGCCCTGCACCCCATGGGAGACCAGGAGAAGCACCTGGCTCCTGCCATCGGATCAGTGCGGTGCGCCGGCTGCAGCGCGCCGGCCGCGGCGGCCATTGGAGGGTGAACCAACGGCAAAAGGAAGACCTTTCTCTCTGTCTTTCTCTCTCACTGTCCACTCTGCCTGTCAAAAAAAAAAAAAAATTAAAAAAAAAAAAAAAGAAAATCTAGTTAAAAAAAAAAAAAAAAGTAATATTAGGGGCTGGCACTGTGGCTCACTTGGTTAATCCTCTGCCTGTGGCGCCGGCATCCCATATGGGTGCCGGGTTCTAGTTCTGGCTGCTTCTCTTCCAGTCCAGTTCTCTGCTGTGGCCCAGGAAGGCAGTGGAGGATGGCCCAAGTGCTTGGGCCCCTGCACCCGCGTGGGAGACCAGGAGGAAGCGCCTGGCTCCTGGCTTCGGATCAGTACAGCGCCGGCCATGGCGGCCATTTGGGGGCTGAACCAATGGAAGGAAGAACTTTCTGTCTCTCTCTCTGTGTGTATATCTCTGCCTATACAAAAAAAAAAAAAAAAAGTAATTTTAAAAAACATATTAAAAGAATCTAATTTATTACATCCTCAAGTTGGAGTTTTTGCTGTTCCAGCTTCCTGCTAAAGTGTATCCTAGGAAGCAGCAGGTGATGGCTCAAGTAGTTGGCTCCCTGCCATTCATGTGGGAGATCCAATTAAGTTCTGGGCTCCTGGCTTCAGCCCTGCCCAGTTCTGGCTGTTATGGGAATTTGGCAGTATATAGGAGGACAGGAGATCTCTCTCTGACTTTCAGATAAAATACGGTAAAATAAATAAATAAATAAAATTTAATGTAGAAGCAATATACTCTAAAATCATGGTAAATGGTATGTATTTTTGGTGTAGCAATTAAGCTGCCACTTGAGATGCCTACATCCCATATTTGAACGTCTGGCTCTGCTTTCAATTCTAGCAACCTGTGAATGTGCACCCTGGGTGGTAGCAAGCAACGGCTCATGTACTTGGGTCCCTGAAACCAACGTGGGAGAGCCAGATTGAGTTCTAGGCTCCTAGCCTTGGTCTGGCCCAGCCCTGGCTATTCTGAGCATTTGGGGAGTCAACCAGCAGGTGGAAAATCTATCTCTGCCTTTCATATAAAATGAAAAGAAGTAAAAATTTAAAATAATATTAAAATAGTAAACACATAAATAACAGCCAATTATTATCAGATATTACGTAACACACCTAAGTGTATGTACTATAGTTTTATATAATTGATGGTTCAGAATGTTTGTTTATACCAGTATAAGCAGAAACATGAGTAATGCCATGGGCTATGATATTATTAATACTGTAACATCACTATGTGGCAGGAATTTTTCAATTCCATTATAACCTAATGGGATTATGATCACGTTATGCACTATGATGTCAACCCAAACACTATGTAAGACACAACCATACATACACTTTTCCCATCAAAAGGCACATACAGGAATGTTCATAAAATTATTCATTATAGTCCAAAACTGTGAACTACTCAAAGAAAAGGAGGATAAATTTTACTATGTTTAAACAATCTTCACAATAATGCTGCTACATACAACAATAAAGATGAATCTCACAAATACAATGTCGACAGAAAGAAGAAGAGAGACAAAAATCGCCATCCTACATGAAACCACTGACCTAACAGTCAAATATTTTACTATATAAAGTTCATAATCTGTAGGGTTAAAAGTCAGGATCGTGGTTATCTTTGCAGAGCAGTGGTGAAGAGCACAAAAGTATGAGGCACTGGCGAGGTTATACAGCTTGATGTGAATGTTGGTTATTCAGGTATTACTGCTCTATTTCAATGGTTTACTTAAACAGCAAAGTCTTTCTAAAATTTTAAACGTCATCTTTTTTGTTGCTGTTACTGATGTCCCCAAGACACTGCAGTGCATGAAAGTGAACTATAATTGTGCAATGAGGTTCTGCTGAAGGCCCAACAGGAAACCTGGGGTAAAATGGAGGATATTCAATTATAGGTCCTTTTCTTATAATTCCAATTCTGAAGCAAAATAACTAATTATAGAGGAAAAGGTATAGAAATAGACTTTGTCTAGGTAAGTAATAAATGATGCCAGAAAATTAAGACTCTAAAATAAATGATAAAAATAATCATATCATCACTCTAACTGCAGTTTTGTAATATAACCAGGACTTAGGATAAAAATAAAGAAGGGAAAAAAGACTGGTAAAACAAAGTTTTATAATTTAGCATCCTTATATTGTACCTATACATATGTATACAGTATATACCGTATTGCCTGGTAAAATAAAGCTGTTTTATTAGGCATTAAAAGTTATAATTGTTCAATGTTTTAAAACATAAGGCAGTCAGAAAGCATTTCTTTTACTTACTCAGTGTATTGTGGTCTGTATGAATACCTTGTATAACAGATGTTCTGAGTAACAATTCCACATCAGAACCTATTTTCATTAGCTGTTAAGAAAAGCAAACAAGTAGAATAAAGCCTTTGAGTATTTTACATGAATATACTTTTCTGAAAGCTATAGTTTTACTTTTAAAGTTATATTGCTTCTACCTTTCTGTAACTATCTAAGTGGTATAGAGATAGCAGACATGCATATGGTTTTAACTTTCATCAATTCATGATTTATTCTTTTGTTAAAACTTGAACTTTTAAATGTTTAAATGTACACTGTTGAGGGAAGATTAAATCTTCCTTTTAGACAGGTGGCTTTTCTGAACACTAGAAAGAGTACTGGATCAAGGAGTCAGAATATTTGGAATCCAGCTCTAACAGTAAGCGGATGGCTTTGGTTAATTACCCGCTCACTCTGAGTTCCAGACCTTGCCACATGCAGGACGAAGAACTGGACTAAACAACAACTTTCAAAGCCAGGGACCCTTGAAGACCTTGAGAACCTTTCAGGGAGCTGTATTTTCACAGAACTGTACAGCCTTTTGCATTTTTTGAATTGTGAACAGAAGTAGAGCTTTCTTCATGGAAAGTATCACACCCCCCCCCATTTTTTTTTTTTAATGTGAAAGTATCACTTTGATAATTCAGACTTGGCTATTTGGTAGACACTTTCTTGAAAAGGAATAGAGTATGTCACTTCAAGGGAAAAAAATACAACCTAATAGACAGTATTTGCTAAAAATGATAAAATTTAAGCTTTAAAACAAAAACTGGAATTGTGGAGAACATGTTTAGCTTTATAACTTCATAACACTTACAGATTTTTTTATGTTTTTAAGATTCTCCATGACACATTTTTATTCAAATACACAGAATATAAGGGGCCGGCGGCGCGGCTCACTAGGCTAATCCTCCGCCTTGCGGACCGGCACACTGGGTTCTAGTCCTGGTCAGGGCACCGGATTCTGTCCCGGTTGCCCCTCTTCCAGGCCAGCTCTCTGCTGTGGCCAGGGAGTGTAGTGGAGGATGGCCCTGCACCCCTTGGGAGACCAGGAGAAGCACCTGGTTCCTGACTTTGGATAAGCGTGGTGCGCTGGCCACCTCACGCCAGCCGTGGCTGCCACTGGAGGGTGAACCAACGGCAAAAGGAAGACCTTTCTCTCTGTCTCTCTCTCTCACTATCCACTCTGCCTGTCAATAAATAAATAAATAAATATAAGGATGCTCCAAAATATTGGGGAAAACAGAATTTAAAAATGTTTTAGAGCAAAGCAGGTGCCGTGGCTTACTTGGTTAATCCTCTGCCTTGCAGCACCGGCATCCCATATGGACGCTGGGTTCTAGCACCGGCCTGCAACTAACCTTTAAGACATTATCAGTTGTTGTTGTTGTAGTATAGTATCAAAGAATACCCACAATTATCTGAAAAGCCTATTAAGCACTTCTACCCTTCTCCAATTATTTACTGAGATGGGGCTGGATTTCCTTTATGTATTTCAACGTAAAAATTGCATCAAACCAGACTAAGAAGTAGATATGAGAATTTAATTGCTGCCTGTTAAGTAAAACATTAAAGAGATTGGCAACAATGCCACTCTTCTCACTAATTTTCTTTTAGAAAATATAGTTGTTTCTCATAAATATTATGCTATTTGTGAAAAAAAATAATGGGATTATTGCTATTTTAAAGTAAGTTCATATGTATTTAACAAATTCTCAGTTCAAATCTAGTACGATAAATACTGGCAGAAGCAGAGCCTTCTGAAGCCCTCAGTTTTTAAGGGCAAAGGCGTCTTAGGATCACGAAGCATCAGCACTGCTTGTCTACAGGATGCTTAAGATTTCTTTTGGTATCAAGACTTCATAAACCCTCAATACATGAGAATGTAATTATCTAAAAAGTAGTCCATCTGTAATACTTGCAGAATCGCAAAAATACAAAATATACATTAGTAGATGATAATATATACTTTTTAGATTATTTAATTTTTTTTTTTGACAGGCAGAGTAGACAATGAGAGAGAGAGAGACAGAGAGAAAGGTCTTCCTTTGCCGTTGGTTCACCCTCCAATGGCCGCCGCGGCCGGCACACTGCAGCCGGCGCACCGCGCTGATCCGAAGGCAGGAGCCAGGTGCCTCTCCTGGTCTCCCATGGAGTGCAGGGCCCAAGTACTTGGGCCATCCTCCACTGTACTCCCTGGCCACAGCAGAGAGCTGGCCTGGAAGAGGGGCAACCGGGACAGAATCCGGCGCCCCGACCGGGACTAGAACCCGGTGTGCCGGCGCCGCAAGGCGGAGGATTAGCCTAAGTGAGCCGCAGTGCTGGCCCTGTACCTCCCTTTTTACAAATTTCTTGGAATCATAACTACCTCTGCAGGTCACTTTCCATTTTTTGTTTTCTTCCTATGGATTCTTTCCCTGCCCTTTATAAAAAGTTAAGACACAGGAAACTCAGACAATGTCTATTTGCTAGAATATACAATGGCACATTTTTTCAATCAATATGTATTAGAACTGTTAGGGAGCTCACAGGTTAGTGTCATCGTGTCTTTAATTACAGCAAGCGACTAAAAATGTTAACACAGAGCTCAAACTACGAAAAGTTCGTAAACTGTGGCTGTTTATTACCCTTGCCCAGATAGGAATTGGGACTCAAACTGCTCGGATGAGATAAAAGAGAGGTTCCTTTGCCGTTCTGAGTTCCTACAACTCAATCTCCTTGTCTGAGTCCCTTGCCTCAGGCGAAGAAAGGTTTTCGGTGGGTTTTGGGGTTGGTTCAGATGCTCCTGCTATGACCACGGCTATTTCTATGTTCTTTTCACTGGGCAACTGGCTGTCTTTGGAGTATAGTCAGAGGCCCTGAGGAGGTGAACCACACCAAACAAGTGAAGGTTTCCTACAGCTGGGATGGCTTTCACTAGCAATTAGTGGGTTTCATTTTACATCAGCCCTCCATTTTCATCACTTCCTCTATGCCAAGAGAATTTGTAATAGCTTTATTGTAACTGAAAAATGCAACTACTGTACCTCTTCTATTTTCTTGGAAGAAGTCTCACTTTTATGACTTTTGAATTCTTCATTTATCTTTATTCTGGCTGCTGGAGAAAGAAAAACACATTTATTAGCTTTTCTAATTTATAATTCTGGTTCTAATAATTTACATGTTATTTATTATGATAGTATAGGAAACGGTTTTACCTCCATGTAAAACAAAGCATAGGAATAAGAATTTGGGGTGGGTGTTGTAGCTCAGATTAAGCTGCTGCTCTGAATGGCTATATCCCATATCTGAACGCCTGGTTCATGTCTCAGTTATTCTGCTTCCAATCCAGCTCCCTGGAAAGGCAGCAGATGATATCTCAAGTTCTCGGGTCCCTGCCACCCGTGTGAAGACCAGGGTGGAATTCTATGCTTCTGGCTTTCATCTGGCCCAGCCCTGGCTGTTGTGGGTATTTGGGGAGTGAACCAGAGGATGGAAGAGCTCCCTCTCGCTCTTCCTGCCTTTCAAGTAACAGAAAACAAAAACAAAAACAAAAACAAAAAACCCTACTAGCACACACACACAAAAAATTTATTAAGGAAGTCTCTGGGAGAGTTTTGACAGGCTGGCAAATTTGCAAATAAACCTAACAGAAACTTTTGTACTCTAAAACTTATGGCTTCATTTGTGGACCTATAGCTAAAGGATTCTAATAAAACCAATTCAATGCTTGATTTCTATAAATCCAAGGATTTGGATTAAAATGCCTTTTAAAAAATAAACAGAATCAACATACACACAAACATTAAAATAAAAATCACAGAAAACAGGAAACATAATTTTGAGTGTTTTGACTGAAAAGTAGAATGAGTGATAAATCAAACTCTTATTCACATATGTCACTGAGATGCTGGTAACATTACAGGAGTGTGACTGAGTCCAATCTGACTTTATTGTGCTGTTTGAGCATTTAATGGAACAGTCACACAAAGTATAAATGAAGTGTGTATATATATATACACAAAGTATATATATATAAATAACATATATATATAAAACATGCAGACATGTTAACTGTTCTTAATATGTATTTATCTTAAAAAATTTAAAGCAAAAAATATACCATGCTGATGGAGAATAGCAATAGCCATAAACCTTCTGTCCAGATACGTTAGAAGGTGAAAATTTCGGGCTTCAGATCAGACTGCTGAGGTTAACTCTCAGCTCCACCTCTTCCTAAATATGATAGGGGACAAATCTTTTCATGTTTTGTCAGTTTTTTTCATCTGAAGAAGTAGGATTATAATTGTAACCACCTCACACAGAGCCGTTATGAGAATTAAATCAAGAATTCATATTAAGTACACATAAAATGGTATATACACTAAAATATTTAAATTATTTTAGGTGAATTACAGAAACTGAATTCCTAGGGGGCAATGGGACACTTTACCCAGGTGCCCTGTTAAGGGGGTTTACAAGTACATGAGGAGCAGACTGAACATGACTAACACAAAACTTAAGGTTTAGAGCTGTGACTTCCACTTGACAGAAGCTACTTAAACCAGTGGAGAGAGTGAATTTGGAATCATTTGGGATGATTCTCTTTCACAGCTGCTGTGACTTGCAGACTAATACACAGCATAACAATATATGGTAGCACGTGGCTCTAGAAAATGTGAAATTTGATTATATAATGGAGGAATGGTGTAGCGTTAGGGAATCATTTTTCTGCCAAGGGCCATTTTGATATTTACATCATTTGTGGGTCATACAAAATTATCAACTTAAGACTAGCCTGCTACAGATTTATTAAATTTTTAGTCCCACTAGTGGCTGCCTTGGCGGGACCACACCAAATGATTATTCAGGCCTTATACAGCTTGTAGGCTGGACGTTCCCCACCCTAGAAAGGCTTGAACAAAGCAATAGAGTGTGGGGAGCAACCCGGACTAGACTAAGTTACTGGAATTAAGACTTATTCTATGCATCTGCTCTCCCACAATGTGGCGCTGGGAGAGGAGCGTACAGCTTCTACCCAGCTGCCCCTTACCAACTTGATAAGTGCAAGAGCTGCTCCTGATTGGAGGAGAGCAGCGTACTCGGCGTGTGGGCAGCCGAGTTGGGATTGGCGGAGGAGGACTATAAAGGAGGAGAGAGACAACATGCACCAGGAACATCTAGGAGGAACATCTAAGGGGAACACCTGTGCAGCCCCCGAGAGAACCGGCCGGCAGTGTGCCGCTCCCCTGCGGAAGTGGGGAATGTGGCAGGGGGAACCGCCCTTCCACGGAGGTGGAAGGGACAGTAGCCAACCCGGGAAGAACCAGCAGCAAACCCGGGGAAGGCCGAGCAGACGAAAGAACAGCGCAGGGTCCTGTGTCGTTCCTCCACGAAGACGGGGAGCGACATAATGGTGCCGTGACTCGGATATGAAGCCTAGGCAGGGCTTAGTGTCGTTCCTCCATGAAGACGGGGAGCGACAAGAGAACACTAAAATTCTTGTTCATTTTTGCTGATTCTTTATGAAAACTTGATCTTTAAAAATTTTCTTTTTGGGAGGCTGCCGCTGTGGAGTAGCGGGTAAAGCTGCCGCCTGCAGTGCCGGCATCCCATATGGGTGCCGGTTTGAGTCCGTGCTGCTCCACTTCTAACCCAGCTCTCTGCTGTGGCCTGGGAAAGCAGTGTAAGATGGCCCAAGTCCTTGGGTCTCTGCACCCGCATGGGAAATCCAGAAGAAGGTCCTGGCTCCTGGCTTCGGATTGGCGCAGCTCTGGCCGCTGCGGCCATCTGGAGAGTGAACCAACAGATGGAAGACCTCTCTGTCTCTCTCTGCCTCTTCTCTCTCTGTGTAACTCTTTCAAATAAATAAATATTTTTTTAAAGAAGTTCTTTTCTAACTAGATATTCCTCAAAGAAGTGTCATGGAAATGAATCTTTAAAGCACACCACTAAGGGAAGGACAGTGAAGGTCATTCCCTGAGAAGGGTCTTGACCATACAGGGTCTTGTGGATAGATCAGCAGCCACGTAAACAATGGACTTGCTTCCAAGGGTAAGAAAAAGTACACTTGCCTTCTAATGCTCTGGCATCATTTTTAAAAACTTGCTGTCTGGTCCTGTGCAGTGTTTTAAAAAGCTGCAAAACCTGTAAAGAAAAATCGGAATTTGGGTCTTACCTCCAAAGAAAAAAAATTCACCATTTACCTAACTGTATAACAAAGATTAAGCAGGATTATTTTTCTGTTTGTTCCTGAGACTATTTTTTCAAAATAGCTGGTGAAAAACAGGGCTTGACAAAATAACTTTCCCTTGTTATTTGTCTTTAAATTAAAAACTACTTGCTTTATTTTTAAAAATTACACACAAAGTTCTCAAAAAGTTAAGAATAGGGGACAGGCAGTGGGATACAGCAGGTTGGGGTACCATTTGAAATACCTGCAGCCCATAACGGAATGCTGGTTCTAGCCCCGGCAACTCTACTTCTGATCCTGATTCCTCCTAATGAATTCAGGAGGCAGTAGATGACAGTTCATGTGCTTGGGCCCCTGCCACCCACATGGGAGACCAAGAGGGAGTTTCAGGCTCCTGGCTTAGGCCTGGCACAACCCCGGCAGCCACCTGAGGAGTGAATCAGCAGATGGAGGATCTGTCTGTCTCCATTGCCTTGCTGTTGAACACAAGCAAGCATTTTAAAGAAGTTCACAGCCGGTACTGCGGCGTAGTTGGCTGAGCCTCTGGCTGCGGTGCCAGCATCCCATATGGGCACCAGTTCTAGTCCTGGCTGCTCCTCTTCTCATCCAGCTCTCTGATATGACCCGGGAAAGCAGCAGAAGATGGGTCAAGGCCTTGGGCTCCCACACCTGTGTGGGAGACCCATTAAAAGCTCCCGGCTCCTGGCTTCGGATTGGATCAACTCTGGCCATTGTGGCCATTTGGGGAGTTAATCAGAAGACGGAAGACCTTTCTTTCTGTCTCTCCCTCTGCTTGTAACTCTTCCTCTAAAATAAATAAATAAAATCTTTTAAAAAGTTTATCAATTGGGGACAGGCATTTAGCCCAGTGGCTAAAATGCCACTGTCTCACAGTTTAGTGCCAATACCAGCTGAAGCTACTAATTCCAGCCATCTGCTAATGCAGAGTCTGGAAACTAACAGGTGATTTGTTCACATGAGCAGGTTCCTGACACCCTGGGTTGAGCTCCTAACTCCCACCTTTGGTTCAACACACTCCAGGCGGGAAAGCATTACGAGTCAGCCAGCAAATGGGAGCGCCTTCCCACTGCCTCTCAAGTAAGTTAAACAACAATAAAAACAAAAATCCTAAGAGATATTTTATCTCATCTGAAGCAAAGCCCAATTCTCAAGTCAAAGATGCATGTCCACTTTGCCTATAAATGAACTGAAACACACTTCTTGAAAAAAGTTTGCAATCCTCTTGCCAGAAACCATTCTTCCAAAATAGCCAACTCGACCAGTCTAGAGCAGTCTCGTCTCGTCTCTTCTCTTCCTCCCTCCCCCCACCTCTTATTTGACAGATAAGAGTTAGTGAAAGACAGAGAGAAAGGTCTTCCTTTCTTCCTTCACCCCCCAAATGGCCGCTATAGCTGGAGCTACGCTGATCCGAAGCCAAGAGCCAGGTACTTCTTCCTGGTCTCCCATGCAGGTGCAGGGCCCAAGCACTTGGGCCATCCTCCACTGCCTTCCCAGGCCACAGCAGAGAGCTGGACTGGAAGAGGAGCAACCGGGACTAGAACCCGGCGCCCATATGGGATGCTGGCGCCGTAGGTGGAGGATTAACCAAGTGAGCCACAGCGCCGGCCCCGAATCATCATTTTTTTTTTTTAATTTTTTTAAAATTTTCATTTTATTTGAAAGGCATAGAGACTGAAAGAAAATTCTATCTGGTTCACTCCCCAAACGCCTTCAACAGCCAAGACTATGTCAGGGTGAATTGAGGGGCCCAGAATTCAATCCAGTCTCCCACGTGGGTGGCAGGACCCCAAGTACTTGAGACATCATCTGTTGCCTCCTCGAGTGAGCCTGAGCAGGAGGCTGGATCAGAAATGAGGAGCTGGGATTCAACCTGACACTCCGAGATGGGATGCAGGTATCCCACACAGCAATGGGGCTGCTCTGCCAAATGCCTACCCCTGATCTTTCTTAATATATTGAGGCTTTCACCTTCTCTTAAAATAATACAAACACAAAATCGGGAATTTATTATATTTTAAGGGTCCCCAAAAGGAAGTTTCTAACAATTTAGGCAAATTTGATTTAGAGTTCTCAAGAGCAAAGAGGAAAGCTGAGATTCAAGAACATGCTGAGTCTGTGTGGGAAAAAATGGAGAGAACACAGTCTGGAATTTTTGCAGAAGACAGATTGTGAAGAGGCTTTAGCGAAAGGGTGCGTTCATCTCACACTTCCTTTCACAAAGCACCTTTCACAAAGACACTTAAAACTGTTCTCCCAATGCTGCTCTTTCTCACTTACAGTTATTACAGGTCACTGAGTTCCTCAAGTCAGAAATCTGAAGGTCATTTTTTTTCTTTTTTAAAAAAAGTTATTTATTTCTTTGAGAGGCAGAGAAGTAAATATACAGAGGAGAGGGGGAGAAGGGGATGAGGGAAGAGGGAGAGAGGGAGAGAGAGATCTACCTGCTGATTTACTCCCCAATGACCCAATCCCTGAGCCATCACCACCACCTCCCAGGATCCCCATTAGCAGGAAGCTGGAGTCAGGAGCTGGGATCAGGTATTGAACCTAGGTGTCTTAACTGCTAGGCCATCTGCCTGCCCTATAGGTCAAGTACCTGACCGTACTTGTGGAAACCTTAGGATTTTCACTCATCTTTTTTACATCCTCCAACCCTCCAATCCCCAAACCTTCCCTGTATCTCCCTGAGATTATTGATAAAGGTTTGCCACGCTGCCATCAATGCCTTTTTCCTCCAGGCTGCTCTCCAGAGAGCAGTATCCAACAGGGACATAGCACAGTGTGCTAAGCACCGTCTTGTGTTTCATACACAGTCATATGTTGCTTAATGACAGGGATATGGTTTAAGAAACGTGTCATTAGGTGATTTTGACATTGTGCAGACATCACAGAGCATGTTTACACAAAACCAGGTGGTACAGACCACACAACGTGCTCTCGATGCAATTAAGAAACCTAATAAACACAAGACATAGATGGCTACTGCTGCGTAACGTGGCAAACTACTTTACAATGACTTATTTTTATAAGTAGAAGGAATACCTCTAAAATGAGAACAAAAAGTCTAGTATAGTAAATACATAAACCAGTATTCCAGCGTTTATCATTACCAAGTGTGAGGATCATGGACTGTATATAATTGGATGTGCTATACTTTTATTTGACTGGCAGTACAGTAGGTTTGTTTACACTAGCATGACCACAAACATGTGAGTGATGTGTAACGCTTGCAGACAGGACATTTTCAGCTCCACTACAGTTTTACGGGATTACATTTCTGTGCAGTCATCATTGACCAAAAAGTCATTATGTTACGCATGGCCGTAATAATAAATCCATAATATCAAAGGCAGACACCAAAAGAGAAACAGGGAATGGGGAGAAAACTTAAAAATAAAATAAAACAAAAAACTAAATAACCATAACAAACTTCTTTAGAAACTTGAATTATTGCAAACATAGAATAACAACAAATAAAAGCTATAGTAAATTTAAAAAGGAATATTCAGAAAACTCACCAGAATTAGATATCAAGTGAGTGACAGTGAAGATGAAGAAGGAAACTACCTCAAATGCAGACTAAACATTTAGAGGTACAGATCGAGGAGGGAAAAGATAAGAAAACAGAGAGTAGTCTAGAAGGTCCAACCTATTGCCAGGAGTACCAAAAAGACAGAATAGACAAGTAGAACAAGTTAAAAGGTAAATCAAGAAAATTTCACTAAGTAAACCACTTAAGTTGCTAGACACAAAGGATTCCACCAAGTATCCAACATAAAAGTCACATCATAGCATTTCATGATATAAATTCTGCACATTGCTGATAAAGAGAAAAAAAGAATTTATATGCAGAGGATTACAAAGTCAGAATGGCATTTGACTTCAAAATAGTATCCCTATAAGAAAGAAAATAATCTAACAATAATTTCAAGTTTTGAAAGAAAAGGCGCAGCTCAGAATACCACACATAAACTACCACCCAATACAAGGGCAAGCAGACATTTTCAGAAAGGTCAAGTTTTTTAAACTGTTGTATATCCTTTATTAAAATGCTGAAGAATATGCTTGACGAAAACAAGAGGGTGACTCACGAAATCTAACAACGTGTGATTTAAAATAGGAGACAAAGAGAGGAGGGGGAAGGACAAATAAATGCCCACAACTGGTCCAAAGGACAGGAAAAGGCTGGCCTGCTCCAGAAAAGATACTGTTGGAAGTTGTTAATTTCAAGAAAAGCTAAGAACTAGAAAAGAAAGGCAATGCAATCATGTACTATATTAGAGGGCCCAGCTAGGGACAATTTTTACATAGGAATAATAGGATCAAAGGTGAAAAGTGAGTGACCACCTTTCATATACTAAGAAGACAGGAGGTAAAGGGGGAGATTAGCCCTAATCTTCCATGGTTAAAAGTCAATAAAGGGTAAGTCCAAAGGGGAAAGCAACAATAAAGAGCAGTCTAAACATGTTGTTTAGAAGCAGGGAGGCAAGATAAAATGGCCTTTCCCTGCAGGAATTAAGAACCAATAGAAGGAGGTAGGTAATTATCAGTTTTCTGTAACACCTTTTAGCACCATTTATGCATTCACATCTTTATAAACATATATTTTAAACAGGGAAAGAGAGGGTGCAGTGATTAAGACACCACATGGGATGACCACACTGCACATCAGAGTGCCTGATTTAAGTTCTGCCTCTGGTTTTCATTCTAGCTTCCTTCTGATGCATACGCTGGGAGGCAGCAGATGATGACTCAGTGTTTGGGTCCCTGCCACTTACTCTGGCTTCAGCCTGGCCCAATTATGGTGAAATAATAATAATGAAAATACATTAATTACCTTAAAAAGAAAAATAGGACACTATTAAAAACAACTCACAGAAGGGGAGAAAATATTTGCAAATCATACATATGAGAAAAGTCTAGTAGCTACAGTATATAAACTCTTACAACTCAATGACAATTTTGAAATCCCTAACTTTAAAACATACAAATGTTTGTTTATTTTTAAATTTATTTAAAAGGCAGACAGAAACAGAGATCTTCCACCTGCTAGTTCACCACCCAAATACCTGCAATAGCCAGGGAAGCGAGTGCCAGGCCAAAGCCAGGTGGCAGCAATCAATCAAGATTTCCCAGGCAGGTGGCCAGGACCCAACTATTGAGCCATCACATGCTATCTCCCAGGGTGCATATTTGCAGGAAGCTGGAACTGGAAGTGGAGCCAGGATTAGAATCCAGACACTCCGTTATGGCATGCAGACATTCCAACTATGTCTTAAAATACTAGACAAAATGTGTACCCCTAGGCAAAAGATTTAAAAGACATGCTTATTTAACTGAAAGACAGGGTGACAGAGAGAGGCAGAGACAGTAACAGAGCAAAGAGGGAAGAAAGACACAAAGTATCTTTCATCCACTGGTTCACTCCCTTGAATACCTGCAACAGCTAAGACTGGGCCAGGCCCAAGACAGGAGCCAGGAGGTTAACCTGGATCTCCCATGTCGGTGGGCAGGGACGCAACTACTTGGGCCATCATCTGCTGCCTTCTCAGGTGCATTAGCAAGAAGCCAGACTGGAAATACAGAAGCTGAAAGTTTAACTGACCTCAGATATGGAGGCTTAATCTGTTGCACCATAAATTCTGCCCCTAGGAAAAGGATTTGAATAGAAATTTTTCCAAAAAAAGAATGTACAGTCAATGAGCCATGAAAAGATGCTCAACATCATTTTCCGTCTGGGAAATAGAAACCTAAACCTTGATAAGAAACCCCTTTACTCCAATATGATGCCTAAAGTAAAAAAGATAGTAACAAGTGTTGGCAAGGATGGAAAAATTGGAATTCTTATACTTTGTTGGTGGGAACGTAATGGTGTAACTGCTTTGGAAGAGTTTGGCATTTGCTGAAAAGTTAAATATACCACATTATATGACCCAGTAATTCCACTATTGGGTGTAAATACAGGATACACAAAAGCTTGTACATTAATGTGCACAGCAGCAATATTCATTATAGCCAGCAAATGGAAAAAAAATGTCCATTAACTCATGAATGCGTAAATAAAATGTGGATTTCCCACAGTGTTATGGCTTGAACTGTGTCTTCCCAAAGGTCATGGTAAAGTCCTAATCTCAAGTACCAGTGTGACTTTATTTGGAAATAGGGTCTTTGAAGACATAACAAAGGTTATGTTATTATCATTGAGGTTAGTATTACAACCACACCAAAACTGGACAAAGATATCAAACAAGTCCTCAATAAGTAATAGCAGTGAAGATCCAACAACATAAATTACACAGCATGATTAAGTGAGGTTTAGCTGAAGAAGGCAAGATGCTTTAACATCTGAAATAACTGAATATCAATCCATGTTAATACACCATATTAACAGAATAACAATGAAAAAAATTAGGTTATTAGGGTGACTCTAATCCAATATGACTAATGTCCTTATTAGAAGAGAAAACGCCACATGAAAATAGAAACACACAGGAGAAATACAGTCGTGTGAAGACAACAAAAGCAGCCACTGGTGTGATACAACAGCAAGCTAAAGAACACCGAGGATTAACAGCAGCCAAGAAGAAAAGAAAGCAAAGATTCCAGAATTTCAGAGGGAGCACAGTGCTAACAGCATCTTGATCCAGGACTTCTAGTTTAAAGATCTGTGAAATAATAAATTTCTGTTGTTCTAAGCCACCCAGTTTATGGCACAGATTGAATACTCTTCACCCAAAATATCTGGGACAAGAAGTGTTCCTGATTTCAGATTTTTAGAATACAGATGCTCGACCTGCACCCTTAATGACAGCCATAGAAAATGAATACAGATTTCAGTACTATGACATGGCCTGCTTGTAACAGGTAACTTAAAACAGGAAGTGGCTGTGGAACTGAGTAATGGACACAGAAAGGACGGTTTCTGGGACTAGCACTGTGGCACACTGGGATTAAGCTGCTGCTTAAGAGTCTGGCATCCCGTATCAGATTGCCAGTTCTTCCTGATATTCCACTTCCAGGGAGCATACGGGAAGGCAGTAGAAGACAGCCCAAGTACTGGGGCTCCTAATACCCATGTGGGAGACCAGATTAGAGTTCCGGCTCCTGGCTTCACCTGGAACCAGCCCTGGCTGTCGCTGTCACTTGAAAAGTGAACCCGTGGATGAAGATTTCTTTCTCTCTTCCTCTCTGTTTTTCAAATAAACACACAATCTTTTTTTAAAAAAAAATTTTGAAGTGCTAGATTGTAAAAGCCTACACTGTTTTTGTAGAAATATGCATTTAAAAGCATTATGGAGTGTAGCAGGTAAAGCTGTTGCTTGCAGTGCAGGCATCCCATATGGACACTGGTTCAAGTCCCAGCTGCTCCACTTCCAATATACCTTATTGGAAATGGCCTGGGAAAGTAACAGAAGTTGGCCCAAGTCCCTGGGACCTTGTACCCCTGTGGGAAACCCAGAAGAACCTCCTGGCTCCTGGCTTCAGATTGGCACAGCTCTGGTCACTGCAGCCATCTAAGGAGTGAACCAGTGGATGGAAGACCTCTCTCTCTCTCTCTCTCTCTCTCTCTCTCTCTCTCTAACTCTGCCTTTCAAATAAATAAATCTTTAAAAAATATATAGAAATCCAGGGAGTTTAATTATGCAAGAGTGGTAAAAGACAGGTACATAGCACTAGGAAAGTCTAATGTGTATAAACCTAACCACTTCACACACTACTTAAGGGGAAAAAAGAGAAAAAAATGACTCCATTAATATAACAAATTCTATCTCTAAGAACTTGTGTAAGAAAAAGAAAATTTTACTATTTCTGCACAGAACCATTGCAGCTAATATAATCTTGGAGCTTATAGATTTTATTAAAATGCTGAAAGCTAGGTCACAGACTGTCTTCCACTTTTACTTAGGTTGATTGGATAAATTTATGCATCGTATATGGAAAAAGGATTCTTTATAGTCAAATCAGTATGAACCCAACATTGTCATTTATTATAAGCCTGGATAAACTATTTACCCCTTCGACCTCAATATTCTTGAGTAATGGGCCAATTTGAACAGTGTGTAAGTATGATATAATTTCTGTACTAGATTCCACTGTAGACAGCCGTATTCACGCATCCCTTCTAAGTCTCTTCCCTGGTACAGCCATGGCTGTGGGCACTTAGTACACTGTTTGCGTATTAAATGCTTACCTACTGTTGTCCCATATTTCTTCAAAGCCTTCTAGGTTACCTCTGTATCCTCCACATTTACTTAGTATAGGTGCCAACTAAAGATGGTATGCCTTGGCAAGTGTTTGTGGAATGAATCCTACTTAATTTCATTTGTATCCATGCCCTCCAAGCAACCTGCCATTTCAACAGCTTCCCATATGCTAGTTTCTTTCTGAAATACTTGTTCTAGCTGATTAGTGTCAAACGTCAGGCCTCACCTTATTTACACCTCCTTTTCTTTTTCTTTTTTTTGTATCCCTCCAAATAGAATAAATCCTGGTTATATGCTTACAAAACACACTGTATTTTCATTCTGAAGCACTTATTACAATTGTAATTAAAAACTTGTTCAAAATCTTACTACCAGCTAGACTTCATAAAGGCACCCCGGGGCAGTTTACTTTTGCTCCATGAAGCCTGGTCGATACGGGCTGCACGCTGGCTCGGCATTAAACCATTATTAATAGCTTTCACGGGCAGTCACTGTATTCCTCACATGGATAACGCTGTACAAGTGTTTCTGTTGGTGCCGTGACACACATTGAAGTCTGCTGATAATCCAAGATCAGAAACACTGAGGACAACCTGGCGGCTCCGTCACGCACCAGCCCAGCGCACTGCTCTCCCTCACGGGGCTGTAGCAGGCCTCTTCCCCTTCCCAGGCCGATTCCTGCTCACCAGCAGCAACCGCGAGTTCCAGCTGGCCGTCTGACGGCGTTAACCTAAAGATGCGTGCCCGGTCAGGAACAAGCATCGGCTGGACAAGAAGCGAGTCAGAGACCAGGTACTGAGAGGGGTGACCGGGGAGGGGCCGGGCCTCCCGCTGCAAACTCAGATCTCGCGGCTCTCTGCTCTGTCTTGCTAAGGCAGTGGTACTCTGGGCGAGTCATGTCAATGCAACTCGGTTTCCTTGGTTCCTGGGCTTCTGTGCACCTGTTTATCCCCACCAACTCTGCCCATCAGCATAGGGCTGCAGCTCAGGACGGCCCGCGCATCTCCCACGCCTCCCTGAGCTGGGCCGGGCTGAAACGGGGGCGGTGCTCGACGGGCTGGCGTGAATCAGATGCGCACTCCGCACCCTATTAGGAAGCAGAAGTACGAGCCGCCGGGCAGCCTCCCTCCCACCTCCTCCGCCCCTGGCCATTCGGCTCCTATGAGGCAGCGGCCGCGTCCGCCAAGGCGGGTCCTGCGCCCAGCCTCCAGACTCCAAAAACCTTCGAAAGGCCACCCCCTGACCCTCCCAGTCGGCACCACCCCACCCCCTCCTGAGCCCTGTCACCTTCGCCGCCTGACCCATGGCTCTCCTCGCCACGGCGGCCACTTCAGTAGCGGTCGCGTCGCCCCGCCTCTTGGCAACCAGTTAAAGCCGAGCGTGGATTATCCAACTCCCTGTAGCCACGTTCCTAGAGCGCCGCAACCAATCACTAGTCAGCAATTCCTTCGTTGCCCCGCCTTCCTCGGGAGGACGACGGAGAGGTGTTGCTTACACTGGCGGCAACCCGTAAAACCGCGAGAAGCTGCGGAGCCCAATTACTGGCTGGAAGAGAACGGAAATCACCTTTACGCCATGTTAGTTAGGGGCACAGACACTTCCGGCCCAAGAAGCTTCTGGTGCATAGATTGGGTTATTTAACGGATAGCTACTGCACTTGCGCGTCATTGACGTCCTCTTTGGAGGTCAGGCTAGTGTGTTAAAGAGCCCTTACTTGAACGTTCCCGGTTGCAACCATTTCCAATGAAATGTGCATCAATAAGAGCAGAGCCCTCACCACTACAACCTGGTTTCAACACTGACTCCTCAAAGTTTTATTTGTACTTTCCCTCACTTAACTCATGCAGACACTGAGGTTGAGAACTTACTCAAGTTCACGTGGCTACTAAATGGAAGTCTGCGGTACAAATCCACTGTGTCCGGCCCCAAAGCTTCGAGTCTCCCTCTGCATCCTGCCTTCTAAGCTTGTCTCGTTACTTGGTTCTGCTGTAAAGAGGCTGGAAATGGGTGGTTTATTAGTAGCATCATGGTCATAAACAATCATAAAGCACTTCAGTGTTTTACCTTATGTCTTTACAAGCGTCAAGAAAAACAGCAACTTTGTGCTGATTTCATATCTACTTGCACAGCATTCCTGGTAGAAAGATTTGGACCAATGGGTCCCCAAGGCCCTTTTCCTTGGTCTGTTAAAGATTATTGTAAGTCATCACAAAACTAACGAGATAATTGTTCACTTTTAAAAAAATATTATTAAGGTGTATTAGACGTACAGAACATTTAATGTGAGTGATTAAACAAACTGAACTGGATAATGCCTTTTATCTAGGGAATCATGAAGCAGGTGTGGGAAACCTATGGCCAGGGGCAGTGTAAGTCCAGCAAAGTCATTTGGTCTGCCCCTGCCAAGGCAACCACAGGCAGGACTCTTAAATTCAGTAAATCTGGCAGGCTAATTTTCAAGTTGATAACTTTGTATGCCCCAGGTGTGATGTTATAAATAGCCAAAAAGGCCCTTGGCAGAAGACAGGTTCCCCATATGATGCTGAATTACAGCATCTTCTGAATGCTGACAATGAGGAAAAGATGCTTTTCTCCATTTTCCAGTTCAGGATCATTGCCTAATTTCTGGCTAATCAAAACTCCTTGTCTGCTGATATCTGGAAATAGTTTCTATAGTGCCAAAAAGTCAATTCAGTCTTGGGGTTTCTCTTCTATTGATCTATGGAGTTCCTTCAATGGCTCCACAAATGAGGTGGCTCTTTACTGTTTTGGTTGTTACTGGGAATATGTCCTGATCTGTATGCATCTCCAATTTTATGGCATAGAACTGCATAAGAAATTTCATGTATGTATGTGGTACTGTGTAGTAGACAGAATAATGGTTCCAAAAATGTCCATGTGGCTGGTACCACAGCTCAATAGGCTAATCCTCCACCTAGCGGCGCCGGCACACAGGGTTCTAGTCCCGGTCGGGGCACTGGATTTTGTCCTGGTTGCCCCTCTTCCAGGCCAGCTCTCTGCTGTGGCCAGGGAGTGCAGTGGAGGATGGCCCAAGTGCTTGGGCCCTGCACCCCATGGGAGACCAGGAGAAGCACCTGGCTCCTGCTTTCAGATCAGCGCGGTGCGCCGGCCGCAGCGTGCCAGCCGTGGCGGCCATTGGAGGGTGAACCAACAGCAAAAGGGAAGACCTTTCTCTCTGTCTCTCTCTCTCACTATCCACTCTGCCTGTTAAAAAAAGAAAAAAGAGTCCATGCTTACATCCCTAGAAGCTATGATTATGTTACGTGACAAACAGGACTTTGCAGGTATGATTAAATTAAGGATTTGGAATGGAAAAGTTATCTTGGATTGTCTGGTAGGCCAAATGTAAGCACAAGGCTCTTTGTACGTGGAAGAAGGAAGGGAAGGAAGTTGGAAGAGCCTCCACTGTGGGTCTTAGAGATTAAGGAAGGTGCTGCAAATCATGGAAAGCAGGTAGTCTCTGGGAGCTGGAAAAAGCAAGGGAAAGGATTTTACCTAGAACTTCTGGAAAGAAGGGAGCACTGCTGGAGACCTAGACTTTAGTTCAGCAACACTCAGTCTCACTTCCAGAATGCCACCGCCTCTTCATGGATCTGCCGTTTTCAAAGCCAGTATTGAAAGTGCTGTTTCCATCATCACATCTGCTGTTTTCACTCTGTATTCTTTCATTTATAAAGGTCCTGGTCCTTACTTGAGGCTTCCTTGGTTAATCCAGCAATCTTCTCATTTCATGATCCTTGACTTAATCGTATCTGCAAGAATCTCCTTTGCAATGTAAGGTAAGATATTCACAGGTTCTAGGGGTTAGGCCTTGGGCATCTACTGCCTTACCTACCCCTCCCAGTTTGGGTGAACACATTCAAAAAGGCTGACATGGAAGGAAATGAGGTAGGAGAACAGACATGTTGCTGATCACATGGGGCCGTAAGCCACGGTAAGTATGTTTTCTTTTCTTTTTTTTAAAAAAGACATATTTATGAATTTGAAAGTCAGAGCCACACAGAGAGAGAGGGAGAGGGAGAGGGAGAGGGAGAGGGAGAGGGAGAGGGAGAGAGATAGGGAGAGAGATAGAGACAGAGAGAGAGACAGAGAGGTCTTCCATCCGCTGATTCACCCTCCAGCTGGCCGCAATGGTCTGAGCTGCGCCGATCTGGAGCAGGAACCAAGAGCTTCCTACGGGTGTCCCATGTGGGTACAGAGGTCGAAGGACCTGGGCCATCTTCCACTGCTTTCCCAGGCCATAACAGAGAGCTGGATAGGAAGTGGAGCAGCCGGATCTCGAACTGCTGCCCACATGGGATGCCGGCACCGCAGGCTGCAGCTTCACTCGCTAAGTCACAGTGCTGGCCCCCAGTATGTTTGTTTTCATTCATCCATGGGATGCCATGGAATAGTACTAGCAGGAGAGTCGCATCATGATTTATATGTTATAATTTGGGGTGCTTTTTGGCAAACTTGTGGGAGGAGAAAATCTCTCCCAACTAGGAGGATCTCAAAGTACTTCAGGCAACTTATGGTACAGGTTTGGATACAGTCTTTGAAGGTGGAGGAAGTGAGAGGTGATTAGAATCCTGATATGTGTTGAAAACAGAAGAAAGATTTAGAGATTTTTCTAGGTTTTTAGCTTGACCAGCTGGGTGAATGGTGATAGAGAATGCTGCAAGAGGAAGTTTTTGTTTGTTGTGGAGGAAGTAAAAACAAAGTTGAACTTCCTGATATATATCCAAGTGGGGGTTGTGAGTAGGTAGCCATGTGTTTCATAGACCATTTTGAAATTAAGTTAACAGGCAGATCAGGAGACAAGTACTTTGGAGTAATTTCTCTATAGGTATTTAAGCTTTTGGATTGAGTGAGAGTTGGCTGTATTTATTATTTAAACCAGCACACTTTTTTTAACATTTAAGAAAATAATTTCCAGTTTCCTGCTATTGAATCCTTGGGAGATAGCCGATGATGGCTCAAGTGCTTGGGCCCCTGCATCCATGTGGGATACTCTGTGTAGTATGGATTCCTATCTTGGCCTGGTCCATCCTGGTTGTTGCAGGCATCTGGGGAGTGAACCAGCACACTGAAGCACGTGCTCTCTCTCTCAGTGTGGCTCTGCCTTTTAAGTGGATGATTAAAAAAAAAACTTAAAAAAGTAGAACTCCAATTTAAAAAAAAAAAAATTTGAGTCACACACACACACACACACACACAGAGAGAGAGAGAGAGAGAGAGAGAGAGAGAGAAGAGACATATAGAACAATTTTCCATTTACTGGTTCACTGCCCAGTGGCCACAGTGGCCAGAGTTGAAGCGGACCACAGCTGGGATTGGGAAACACAATTCAGTTCTCTAGGGCCGGCGCCGCAGCTCACTAGGCTAATCCTCCGCCTTGTGGCGCTGGCACACCCGGTTCTAGTTCCGGTCGGGGCGCTGGATTCTGTCCCGGTTGCTCCTCTTCCAGTCCAGCTCTCTGCTGTGGCCCTGGAAGGCAATGGAGGATGGCCCAAGTGCTTGGGCCCTGCACCCCATGGGAGACCAGGAGAAGCACCTGGCTCCTGCCTTCGGATCAGCGCGGTGCGCCGGCTGCAGCGCGCTGGCCGCGGCAGCCATTGGAGGGTGAACCAACGGCAAAAAGGAAGACCTTTCTCTCTGTCTCTCTCTCTCACTATCCACTCTGCCTGTCAAATAGAAAAAACGATTTCAGTTCTCCCATATAGGTGGCAGGAACCCAATCACCTGAGCCATCACCACTGCCTCCCAGGGTCTGTGTCAGCAGGATGTTCACTGAAGTCAGGAGGCAGAGCCATTCAACTACTGTGGAATGCAGGATCTTAACTGCTGGTCAAACGCCCAGTCTGTGATTTAACCTTTTACTTTGACCATTTCAAAGGTACAGAAAAGTGGCAAGAATAATACATAGAATGAGCATATACTTTTTACTCAGATTGCACAAATGTTAACATTTCACTGCAAATGCTTTTGTCCTTTCTTCTACTTTTGTATATATGGAATCTCTCTCTCTCTCTGAGCTGTTTGAAATCAAGTTGCAGACATAAACTCTGCAACTCCTAAATACCTCCATGGGTTTTTGTTCCTCTGCAAGCAAAGGCATTCCCTTTCAGCAGCAGTACTCAAAGTATGGTTCCAGGGCCAGCAGGAACTCCAATTCGTAGGACTCTATCCCAGACCAAATGATTTTGATAATTTTGCTGTGGCTATGAAAGGAGATGTTAACATGACTTCCAATTTCTTACTATCTTAGTAAGAGATGAACATTATTTAGATTTCATCAAATGTCCCAGTAATGTCTCTGATAGCAGCAAATGGGAGTTTTGAAATGAAAGTGAATCACTAATTTAAGAGACAATTTCACAGGTAAGCTGTAATCACACAGGGCAGTTCAGGAGGTATAGCTGATTTTCCTAAAGAAGGACACTTGGAAACTGGGTGTTCGCTAGAGAAGAGGGCCAAGCGTACACCCACTGAGAGGTCTGGAATTGGAGGCTCACGGGGAAGGAGACAGAACATTCAGACAGGTGGGAGCATGAAGACTGTCGCTGAAGGTCAGTAGTGGCAAATAATGCCGAGAGGTCTAGCATGATGAGAACTGGAGCTGCCTGTAGGATTTTGTAAGTGGAGGTCCCTAGTGACCTCAGCAAGAGGGAAATGGGCTCAAAAATCAAAGTTGATGAGCTGGTGTTAGGGTACACTGGATTAAGCCAAAGCCTGTGCTGCTGCCATCTCATACTGGAGTACCGTTTGAGTTCTGGCTGCTCCTCTTGACACCCAGCTCTCTGCTAATATGACTGGGAAAGCAGCAGATGATGGCTCGAGTACTTGGGCTCCTGCCACCCATGTGGGAGACCAGGATGGAGTTCCTGACTCCTGCCTTCTGCCTGGCCCATCCGGGGCTGTTTCCACCGTATGGGGAGTGAACCAGTAGATGGCAGATCTCTGTCACTCTCCTTCTAGCGTCCTGCCTTTCAAATAAATAAAATAAATCTGAAAAGAAATGAGAGATGAGCAAAGTAGACACAGTATGTGGAAAACTAAGAGATAGGGAGGGAGATGCAGGACTGAGGAAGGTTTCGTTCCGTTAAGGTGGAGCATCTTACAGTATGAAGGGCGGCTGGGCAAACTACTTTGTAGAACATTCTAGGGAGGCTTGCAAACTACTGATGCCTGAGTCGCCCCACTGGATACTCTGATTTAATTGCTCTGGCGTGCAGCCAGGTTCAGGATTTTGAAAAGCTCCCCAAATAATTTTCATGTGAATTCAAGGTTGAGAACCACTGCTAGACAAAGAGAGCTGAAGCATGGAGGGTTTAACTGCCCTGGCGAAGACCTTAAGCTGCAGAGAAGTGCAGCTGGGGCCTCAGCCAGCCTGAATTATCAAATCTCTTACAGGACTCAGTTTTTCCCACCAACGTGCCTAGGCGAATTAAGGGCTTACATCCGTGACTCCACTTCCGCGGATCCAAGAAAAGAATAAGTAAATACGGCGCGGGTGCGTCTCCCTGGAGCCACCTCGGCCAGTCCCTGGGGGCGGCTCCCTCGCGGCTCCCGCGCGCCGGCCGCACCCGCCGCCCGGGTCGCCGGTGCGCACGCGCGGGCGCGCTCGGGCCCGGGAGCTGCGGTCGGTGCGCAGGCTTGGCCGCGCGCTCCCGCCCTCTGCCGGCTCCGCGGCTTCCTCCCTTCTCTGCGCTTCTCCCGTGGCCGGTGCGCGGGAGGCAGCCCGAGATGGCAGATGAGATCGCCAAGGCTCAGGTCGCCCGACCTGGTGGCGACACGATCTTCGGGAAGATCATCCGCAAGGAAATCCCAGCCAAAATCATTTTCGAGGATGACCAGGTAGGGACCGGGCGTCGCGTCGCCGGGCGGGGGGCAGCGGCCCGGGGCACGCTGGCTTTCCGCCGAGGGACGGGCCCCCAGCCAGCGGGCAGGGCCGCGGGCGCCCGGAGGCGGCCTGCCGGCGCGTGCCGGCGCTCCGGTTACGCGTTATCAGCGGCGGGCGCGGGCCCGGCCGCCGGGCGTCCGCAGAGCCGCGCCGCGGGGCCCAGGCGCGTGTGCGGGTCGCGCCGGCTCCCGGGCGTGCTCGCCCGCCAGCTCCCGGCGGCCTGGGACCTCGCCGGGGTCAGGAATCTCGCAATCTCGTCAGCGCTCTGCCTGACAGGGAGAAACCCGATCGCGCCCTGACTCGGGCCCAATCTCCGCGATCTCCCGCGCACAGCCGGCCTGCCCTGGCCGTTCCGGGGCGCTGCTCCGCCTGGCGTGCTGCCGGCGGCCTGCAGGCTGCCGCGGCGGGGCCGCTCGGCGGGCCGACCCGGAGATAAGCCCGCGCCCACGCCCGGGACTCGCTTCCCCTCCACGTTCCCCGCCGAAGGTTTCCGCGCTTAGAAGCGGTCGGAAGATTGCTTTTATATTCGACAGGAAACGCTTGTACGTCGAGGAGCTAAAAATGAAGGTTTTATTTGGTTGGTTTCGTTGGAGGTGGAGTCCCTGTTGATGGGTAAATTGCCAGTGTGTAGCGGACTTTGGTATTTGTGGGTGTGGATCTCAGGTACTCAGCTTGGCCAGACGCTTGGTTCGTTTAGTTAGGAAGTTTCTGCAAACATATGTCAGAAATGGGCAGTATAAGAAAACAATTCATCTGACGCTGCTAGTAGTGTTTACTTAGATTTAAAGCGTTAACTAAGATTGAATTCGGTGCCTTAAAAGTGAATTTCGTTTAAATTCGTTTAAATTAAATTATCTGTCGCTCGTTAGGAGGGTCTTTTGTTTTAGAAGCATGATTTCTATCTAAAAGTCCACAGTTAAGTATTATGAATGATATTCGAAATACTGACGTTTGAACCACAGCATGAAGCATTCTAAATGATGCAGCATTTTGTAGGGCGTGCCCGGTAAGGTTTCCCCAAAGACACATACACACGGGTGGCTTTAAGCATCAGTAGAGAGCCGAGGGCACGAAAACAATCATGTCGTAGGTTTAGGAACAGACGCTTCCAGTGTGGTTGCGAATTTGTCTACATGCTACTTAAACTGCTCAGTTCCACAAAAGAAAATGGGCCTATTTCTTTTCTTTCTTTTTTTTTTTTTTTTTGACAGGCAGAGTGGACAGTGAGAGAGAGAGACAGAGAGAAAGGTCTTCCTTTGCCGTTGGTTCACCCTCCAATGGCCGCTGCGGCTGGCTCATCGCGCTGATCCGATGGCAGGAGCCAGATACTTATTCTGGTCTCCCATGGGGTGCAGGGCCCTAGAACCTGGGCCATCCTCCACTGCACTCCCTGGCCACAGCAGAGAGCTGGCCTGGAAGAGGGGCAACCGGGAACAGAATCTGGCGCCCCGACCGGGACTAGAACCCGGTGTGCCGGTGCGGCAAGGCGGTGGATTAGCCTAGTGAGCCGCGGCAACGGCCGTGGGCCTATTTCTTAAGTAGTTGAGTAGAATGGGTGGGTATTAATAGGCTATCAAATATGTGACTACCAAGCTGGCACTACAGTAAAGGGAAAAAAGCAGAAAACCAAGACTTTGACCTTGGAAAGATGGGGGAAGGGAGAGGGCAGGGAGAGGGACAGAGGGGAGTCAGAAGAGTTCCTTCAGAAATTGTGTGTGTTGGGAAGGCAGAGGTTGGAGCTGAGGAAGAGAGCACTGCGGGAGAGTGGAGTGGGCGGTAGCTGGAGAGGCCCTGAGGGTGGCGCCCTGAGAAGGACCCCAGATCAGCCTGGAGGGGTAGACGACCAGGAGGCTCATTTCTGCTCATCCACTGGCTCTGTTTAAATGCCACTTCCCTTAGAGTGGCTGTCCATCACCACTCAACGTAAATCAGGTTTTGCGAGGTAATCATGTATTTCACCCTTTGCTCTTCTTTCCCAACATGCATGACCTTTGGTAATTACACTTTTATTTGTTTAAAGTCAGTGTTCCATGAGACTCACAGGTTCCACAAGAAAAGACCTTGTGAATCCTGTAGATTCCTTAGCATCTAGTACAGCGAGTTCCATGTGGTTAGTGCTCAATATATACTTGAAGTGTTAGCCTATTAGATGATGTACTGAAACTTGGATTTTTTTCCTTTTTCCTAGTGTCTTGCTTTCCATGACATTTCCCCTCAAGCACCAACACATTTTCTGGTGATACCTAAGAAACATATATCCCAGATTTCTGCAGCAGAGGATGCTGATGAAAGTGTAAGTAAATTCCTGACACAGTTTATTTTCTTGCTTTTTAAAATGGGAGATAAAACTTTGTCCTTAAAGTGATGTCACATTTTCATCTTCCTAAGGGTATTACCAAAATGAGTTCAATGTGCTATATAACGTGTGATTTTTCTAAAGGGGGAACATTCAGAAATAAGATACATTTTATTAGCCTGTCTTCAGACCAGGAATTGGCATAGTGTGATTCAATCAGACAGAAATATATGAATGGAAAATATTAAAGCTATGAAATTCTGGTGTTTGAAAGGGTGATTTGCACTGGAACATTGGAGACCTCTTGAAAGCCAATACTATGTACCTGAAACCCCACATCAGACAAATCACCTCCTCCCAAAATAGATACAAAGGCAATGTATATAACTCAGTGAACCTCTTCAATCCTTAATTATGAATACACATACTTAATATATGTAAAGACTTGATTACTAAAATCAATCAACAAATTAAAGCAGGGATTGGCAACCTGTGGCCTGTGGGCCAAATCTGACCAGCTGCCTGTTTGTTTAAAGTATTACTGCAGCACAACTATTCCCACTGTCTAACCATTGTCCGTGGCTGCTTTTGCACTAGAAAAGCAGGGTTGAGTAGTTGTTTTATTTTTTTTTTTTTAAGATTTATTTATTTCGGGCCTGGCACCGTGGTTCACGTGGTTGGTCCTCCGCCTGTGGCGCCGGCATCCCATATGGGCACTGGTTCTAGTCCTGGTTGCTCCTCTTCCAGTCCAGCTCTCTGCTGTGGCCCCGGAGGGCAGTGGAGGAAGGCCCAAGTCCTTTAGCCCCTGCACCTGCATGGGAGACCAGGAGGAAGTACCCAGCTCCTGGCTTTGGATCGGCGGCATGAACCAGGGGAAGGAAGACCTTTCTCTCTGTCTCTCTCTCACTGTCTGTAACTCTACCTGTCAAATAAATAAATAAATAATCTTTAAAAAATATTTATTTATTTCATTTGAAAGAGTTACACAGAGAGAGGAGAGGCAGAGAGAGGTCTTCTGTCTGATGGTTCACTCCCCAGATGGCCGGAGCTGCGCTGATCCAAAGCCAGGAGCCAGGAGCTTCTTCTGGGTCTCCCATGAAGGTGCAGGGGCCCAAGGACTTGGGCCATCTTCTACTGCTTTCCCAGGCCACAGCAGAGAGCTGGCCTGGAAGAGGGGCAACCGGGACAGAATCTGGTGCCCCGACCAGGACTAGAACCTGGTGTGCTGGCGCTGCAAGGTGGGGGATTAGCCTACTGAGCTGTGGTGCTGGCCTTTTTTTTTTGAATAAATTTCTAATTGTTATAATTAGAACTCTGAGTGGTCACGAAAAGGTAAATTATCTTGAGTAAACTCAGTAAGATGGCATTATATGACATTGAAAGATTTTGTAAATTTCCATCATTTCACCTGTACTGATAAGTTGCTCCTTCTGTGAGGATTTATGACATTTGTTTACCTATCAGGGTTTTTTAGACCTGTAGAGTAAATATTTTTCCAAAGGAAATCTTTACTAAAAGCTTGAATTTCTCAAGCTATTTTAATCTTCATTATTTTAGTGAACATCATTTTGTTGTTTATAAAACTTTATAGAAATACTTTTTCTGGCTGGCACCGCGGCTCAATAGGCTAATCCTCCACCTAGCGGCACCAGCACACCGGGTTCTAGTCCCGGTCGGGGCGCCGAATTCTGTCCCGGTTGCCCCTCTTCCAGGCCAGCTCTCTGCTGTTGCCCGGGAGGGCAGTGGAGGATGGCCCAAGTCCTTGGGCCCTGCACCCCATGGGAGACCAGGAGAAGCACCTGGCTCCTGCCTTCGGATCAGCGCGGTGCGCTGGCCGCAGCACGCCAGCCGTGGCGGCCATTGGAGGGTGAACCAACGGCAAAGGAAGACCTTTCTCTCTGTCTCTCTCTCTCACTGTCCACTCTGCCTGTCAAAAAAAAAAAAAAAAGAAAAAGAAATACTTTTTCTTTTTCTGGAACCTAGCTGTAGATTGCTAACTTACATGTAAATGAGAGGAACTGTAACAATTTTTGTCATCTATGTTGGAAAACAATATTTTAGAACTGGAAGGTGCCCCAAATCTTATATATAAGCAATTCATCTCATTATACTTGAAAACCAAATATTTAGAAGGCTGATAAATGCTCTAAACATTTGTTTTTTAAACAGATTATTTGAACCATTATGCTTAGTGAAAAGAGACCAGTCCGAAAGACAAATAACACATTTTCCCTGTGATAATTAATAGAAAACAAAAAAATGTAATGTAGATGAGCAAATTTGACATTTTGAGATGTGATTATTGATTACAGTGCTTGTCTATTGCTGAAGAACAGTGGACTTTTTCTTCTATTTATTGCACTCTTAGTGGGATGTTAGCCTTACGATTATAAGATAAACTGAAAGTATGTCACTGGAAAAATTAAAAGAAAAAATAAGAAAGGAAGGAGGAGGGAAGGTAAGGTGGAAAGTATCACCATGCTCCTCAATCTGTATATATGTAAATAAAAAAATTAAAATTATTTGAGAAGCAGAGGGTGCGCCTATCTACTGGTTTATTCCCCAAATGCCCATAGTGTCCTGGTAGGGAGCCAAAGCTGGGATCCAGGAGTTCAATCCAGGTCTCCTATATGGTGGCAGGATCCACATTAGCAGTAAGTTGTAATCAGGAGCCAAAGCTAGGATTCAAACTCACACACTCCAGTGTGGAGCTTGGGCGAAATGGTGATGGCTTACCTGTTAGGACAAAAGCCCACTCTATATCTTTCTTTAAACTATGTTTTCTGGTAATCCTGATTTTAATTATTAATTAATTTATTGGTTCTAAATCTATATTCTACTTGAGTTTCATTATCCTTTAAGATTGAGTAGAAAAAAGGGAACAAAATTCCCTGATATTATATAATAATAAAAAACTGTAAATACTTCCCTAATTCAGGGTAATGGTATTACTTGAATAATACTTGCTTTCTGACAAAACTTTTTATGATATATCTAATTTGAGTAATGTCAAGCTGGATAGTTTTAGGTAGTAGCTGTGAATGCCAGGGAAGTTCAGGTGTTTTTTTCAGTGCTTAGTATCTGTTCATTTTCCTTTGTCTTGAGAATTCCTTTGAGATTGGGTTACTAAGTGTAAGTTTTTGGGGTTTTATTTGGTCTGCAAAAGATGTGAATGATTCTTGGGAGGACTAGAGTTTATTTCAGTTCTTTCAAAGCAGAGAGATGAACATTTCAAGGACATCAAAAAATACGTGAGCTGAAGAATCTCACTTATTTTATTCTTTTAAGAAGAACGATGACCAAATATTCGTCTGTTTACTTGCCAGCAGCCCTCTTTCTGAAGGCTGCATCTTTAATATTTTGATGACGTTTTCCTTTGGTGATAGAAAGTGAATGCCTTTGCTGGCTCTACTGTGCTGCTGTTCCGATAAAGAAAAAGGATATCTTTGTCCTTTTTATTCCCCTTTACAGGGCATAAGCCGGTAGTCTGTGATGAAATCCATTTCATTTTGCTGTGTTTTAAGGGTGGACAGTAGGTTTCTCCCTCTTTACTACTAAACAAAAAGTTTTGGCCAACACTTGGTAGGAGATGGTGGTTTTCCCTCAAGGCAGACAGGAATGGCCTGTTACTGAAGCACAGTGCTTGCTATTTTTTCACTTATTTTCATAAAGAAAAAGTAGGATGATGAGCTTGGTAAGGGATACTTCTCTCAAGGATCCTCTCCGTTTACTACATGAAGTGACTTAACTGGAGCAGTTTGGATAGACACAGGTGAAAACAAAGCAACTTTACTGATGTAATTCACGTCATATGCTCCACCTATTTTGAGTATGCAGGTCACTGATTTTTGCTTTGTTCACAAAATTAGGCAACCATCACCTTAGTTAGTTTCAGAACATTTTCATTCCAAAGGAAACTCCAAAGGTATTAGTAGTCGCTCTCCATTCTGCCTACTTCTCCATGTCCCCCGCCACTGCACCGAAGGGGACCTGTAATCACTTTTTGTCTCTAGATTGGCCTATTGCACATTTCCTAGAAATGGATCCACTATATGATGTTTGTAACTTTTTTTTTCACTTAATGTTGTCAAGCTTCACATAGGAGATGTTTTGGTACTTCATTCTTTTTTTTTTTTTTAATGACCAAATAATGTCCCATTGTAGAGATAGGCCCCATTTTATTTTTCTACTTTTTGGCTGTTATGAATAATGCTGCTGTGAACGTTTGTTTCACATATTTGTATGGACATATATTTTCATTTACTCAGATATATTCCTAGGACTGAAATTATTGGGCCCTATTCTTTTGAGGAGCTTCCCAGATGTCTTCCAAAGCTGCTGGGCCATTTTATATCCTCCCCAGCAACGTGTGAATATTTCAGTTTCTCCACATCCTCACCATCGCTTTTCATTATTTTTCTGTCTTTACTTATTTGAAAGGCAGAGTCAGAGAAAGACAGATGGAGATCTTGATCTGCTGATTCATTCCCTAAATGCCTGCAGCAGTTGGGGCTGGGCCAGCCTGAAGCCAGGAGCCTGGAACTTAGTCTAGTTTCTCACATATGTGGCATGGATTCAAGCACTTGAGACTCCATTTGCTGCCTCTCATGTGTGTATTAGCATGAACCCCAAATTGGTAGAGAAGCCAGGACTCACACTCAGGCACTTTGTTATGGGATGCTCTTGTCCCAAGCTGTATCAACTGCGAGCACCAATTGCTGCCCTGCCCCCTAGTTATTTGTTTTTTTTTTTTTTTAAGCAAATCATGGACATAGCATAATGTTGGGATAATTATTATTCCTATCAAAAAATAAAACCGGACAGCTTATTACTTTGTACAAAAATCATTTCAGGTCCACTAAAAATCTATTCGGAATGCTTTTTCTAGTAGCCAAAATTAAGAGTATCTTTATGACCTTGGTGCTGCGAAGGATTTCTTCACAAGAAACAAGAGGTACAGTCTAGAAACAGAAAAGGTTAAATTGAGCACATGAAAATTTAAGAACTTAATATTCACCAACAGATTCCATAAAGAGAGTTAAAAGTCAAACCACAGAGAGAAAAAGATTGGTAACCTTTGGAGTAGGGACATAGGTGGAGAAAGTGTGACTGAGTTGGGGCACTTGGAATCCTGTAGAGTAAAGTTCTATTTCTTGATCTGGAAGGTAGTGTTCTGTTACTGTTCTTTATTTTGTTCACATGTTTTCATTTTTATCTGTATGTAGTATCTCACAAAATATTTAAAGATATTGAAATTAAGAAATTGATATTTTGTGTTCAGCATTTTACCTATTTATTTGGGGGGTACCTTTTCAAAGCAAGATACTTTTGAAACTTATAACTTTAGGACATTAATTTTTAACCAGAGTTCAAAGCTTACAGTGAGTGCTTAATGGTGAAATGCCTTCTTACTTGCCATAAGAAGGTTGAAAACATCAGAATACTGTTTTTAACATTCAGTCTAATTGCACAATTCTGGCATTTTGAAGCCAGACCTTATTCAAATGCAGCTCTTGTCTGTAAGGGTAGACTGTGAATTTTTACTCAGTTAACATTCTTAATTGGAGATTTAAGGTCAGCTCTTTTACAAAGAATACACTGTTCCTTGTCAGGAATAATTTACTGGACGAGCTTTAAAATTTTGCTAGCTCATAATTAAATTTGTGACCAGCACAGGTACATGCTGTATATAGTTTAACACTTTAAAATAAGGAATTTTTTTTTTACCATTTCAAAACCTGATTTCAGAGTTAACTCACAGAAATCTTCTTTCTTGAATTTGGGCTTTTAATAGTTAAGCCTTCTTGGAACTGATTGGAGACTTCTTTGGTTATCAGAATGTTTAGTGACAGAATATTCTGCTTTGCCCAGTAACTTCCTAGTGTCTGTTGGTAGCTTTTCCTGAGGACCTGTCCAGGTCCTGAGGCAAATAGTTGGTGTCACCCTGGGCCATCTTGTTTCTGTTTCTTTAATCAGCCTATGGGCAGTTTGCATTTGCAGATGGAGTTTATTTATGTATTGCCAACTTTCTTCTCTAATAAAAGTTAAAGGTGGGAGGGTTGGCCAGAGAAAAACCTGAAACTTTCAGTTCATGGTTTATGGTTTCTCATGGAAGAGAACAGTGGTGCAGGTTAACCTTTCTTCCCAACATTCTGTCAAGCCCTCAAGGAAGGAAGCTGCTTTCATTTCTATGGCAAGAAAAGAGGGAAGATAGACAGAGTCATGTGTTTCTATTCCCATTGCCCTCTAAGCCCAGCACCTGTGAACTATGTTGTAAATGCAGTAAGGTCTATTGTAATCTGAATCTTATGGTTGTGTCCCTGTTCTGGTCAAAGCCATAATTTGATTCTTAAAATGTCAATGAGGCACTGAAGGTCACAAGAGACAGAGAAAATGTTTCACATACATTAGTTCAGTATTGAATACAGTAGGGAAACAGTATTTAGCAAACAGTATTGCCATCCTGTATTCGATCTTCTACTTCCAGAAGCGCCCTGATTTCTGGAGCAGGCTTTGCTTTCTTAGCATTTGGGGACAGTGGCAAAGAGGAGCTGCTGTACCTGATAGGTAGGGTTCTCCTGTGCCAGCTGGAGTAAGCTTCCACCAGTGGGAGATGTGAGACTTTCACATTCATTTTTTGAGGCCCAACCTTTAGTTTTTGGTTAATTTTGAATGTACAAGTTGTTTCTCATCAAATTATGTATATATACATATCAAAAGAACAAGTGAAGAAGATTCCTACACAAAAGCATCCCAAACAAGGATTAGTTGGTCAGACTGGTTTTTTGTCAACATAGAAGGGTACAGTTGATTTCACAGGGAGCAGAAAGAATTCCTTGGTTTTGCCTTGGAGCACATGTCTCAATTAAAATAATAATGTTCTTCGTGGTAGATTGTATCTAGATTGTTTGTAAGTACTTATTACTCTTATTTATTAATTGAAAGGATTTATTTTTTATTTATTTCAGAAGCAGAGTTAAGGAGAAAGAGAGGAAGATAGAGATCTTCCATCTGCTGGTTTACTCCCCAGATGGCCGCAACAGCTGGGGCTGGGATAGGCCAAAGTGAGAGGTCTCCTGTGTAGGTGCAGGGGCCCAAGTACTTCAGCCATCTTCTGCTGCTTTTCCCAGGCACAGCAGCAGGGAGTTGGATTGGAAGTGGAGCAGTTGGGACCCAAACTGTCACCTACATGGGATGCTGGCATTGTAGGTGGCAGCTTTACTTGCTACATCACAACACCAGCCCCATTATTTATTTTTTTATTTTTTATTTATTTTTATTTTTTTATTTTTTTTATTTTTGACAGGCAGAGTGGACAGTGAGAGAGAGAGACAGAGAGAGAAAGGTCTTCCTTTGCCGTTGGTTCACCCTCCAATGGCTGCCGCTGCAGCCGGCGCACCGCGCTGATCCGATGGCAGGAGCCAGGATCCAGGTGCTTTTCCTGGTCTCCCATGGGGTGCAGGGCCCAAGCACCTGGGCCATCCTCCACTGCACTCCCTGGCCACAGCAGAGAGCTGGCCTGGAAGAGGGGCAACCGGGACAGAATCCGGCGCCCCGACCGGGACTAGAACCCGGTGTGCCGGCGCCGCAAGGTGGAGGATTAGCCTATTGAGCCACGGCGCGGCCTATTTATTTTTTTAAAGATTTATTTTAACCATGTCTCACAAATTTTGACATTTTAATTTTTAAAAGATTTGAAGTAGGCTCCTTGTAGCCAGTATATAGTTGTTTGTTTAATCCAATCTGAGAATTCTTTTGATTGATAAATTTAAACTGCTTAAATATAATGCAATTATGGATATTGGATTAAAATCTACACACTTGCTACATGTTTTCTGTAAGTTATTTTTCATTTCTTCTTTCTTTTGACTTACTTGAACTGTTTTTTTATTATTCTGTTTATTTATCTCTGTTACTGACTCACTATTTATACCTCCTAAAAACTGTTCAGTAGTTGCATGATAACTCTTTAATCAGAGTCCACACTCAAATAGTATTATACTGCTATATTTACTATGAGGACCATACAATACTGTTTCCAATCATTCTTTTTCATCCTTTGTACTATTTTTTTTCTATATGTTACTTCTGCATATGCTAGGCTGTACAATGCTACTTTTTTGTTTGTGTTAGATTGTTATCTATCAGAACAGTTACAAGTGAAAAAAATCTGTTTTTTTAATCTTACCTTCATTGATTCCATTT